ACTGGTGGTTGGTGGGCTTTCTGCTGGGACCAGGATCCCAATCAATTAAATCCCACCTGACCAGACCCGTCAGCCAATCAAAACCTAGCACTCAGTGGCACCACAAGGAAAATTCAGCTATTGTTGGTACAGCACTTTCTGGACTCCCAGGATGGAGGAGGTGGAAAAGGTGCATTGTTTGGGGGAGGGCATACTCGGGTTGAGAAAGGGAATCAGAAGCAAGAACAGGAGTTGGCTGTCAATGGCTCTGTGTTAAGTTCCTTGACTGTGCGCAGATTAGTGCAGATCGAGGACACACACACTTAGGTGCTGCCTCATTTCCACCACATGAAGATGAAAGCCCGTGTGCAGTGGTTAACAGGCCTTTGGGCTGACTCTTTCATCCTGCCTGGAGCTAAGATAGTGGAAGCACAGGCAGGAATAGACCCATAAGTAATCAATTAATAAGCACTGAAGGGCCTCAGTTAGTGGAGGAGACAGAAAGGATGAGCTTGGGCCTTCCTGCTCAGATTGTAATTCTAATGAAGGTAGGAAGGTAGTGCCATTCTGTTCTAACAGCACCCTGTCTAATTAAATTATTTTTATTCATTTATCGGATGTGGGTGTTGCTGGCTGGGCCAGCATTTGTGGCCCATCCCTAGTTGCCCTTGAGAAGCTGCCTTCCCGAACTGCTATAGTCCATCTCCTGTAGGTTGATTCAAAATGCCATTAGGGTGGGAATTTCAGGATTTTGACTCAGTGACAGCAAAGGAACAACAATATATTTCCAACTCAGGATGGTGAGTGGCTTGGAGGGGAACTTGTGGATTTTGGTGGTCCCATGTATCTGCTGCCCTTGATCTTCTAGATGGACGTGGTCATGGGTTTGGAAGGTGCTGTCTGTGGTGTCTTGGAGAATTTCTGCAGTGCGTGTTATAGAAGGTACATGCTGCTGTGACTGAGAGTTAGTTGTGAAGGAAGTGAGTGCATGTGGATGCCGTGTCAATCAAGTGGGCAGCTGTGCCATGGATGGTGTCAGGCTTTTTGAGTGTCTACACAATAATAATAATGTTTCCTGCACCCATCCAGGCAAGTGAGGAGTATTCCATCACACTCCTGACTTGTGCCTTGTAGATGATGGACAGGCTTTGGGGATTCTGGAAGAGTTGCTTGCTCAGAAGGAAAAAAACAGTAAAATATGTGAATGGTACAAACGTATCCTTCAAAATGCAATTCCTGTGTACCCAGTACATTCATTTGCAAATATTACTGATTTTATTTCCTGTTTTGTCCTCTCTCTGAGTGCTGCAGAATTCCTAACCTCTCTCCTGCTTTGGCAGTTGCAGCTGCTGCCTGCATAACCAGAAGATGTTGCCCAGTGTGACAGTTTGAATTTGACACACACTTACTTCTCAGATAGATATTTGTGACTTTCATATTCAATCCTTATTTTAAGCACATTGCACTAGTATGCATGCTTAAGCAATGCTGAAAATGTAGTTCATTGCAGAACTTTCTGTCCTTTATTCAAGATGGTGTCTGAATTTCATTGTATGTCGCCTGAAGCATATTGGAGGAAGTGACAGATATTAATGCTGTTATTAATACTATATTCGCTATTGAAGAGGATCTTTGGATTCTATACAGCTTACATTTGAATCCAGTCTTTATGCTTCTAGTAAGGGCTGGGGAAGATCATATTTAAAGGTGGGGGAGACAGTGGCTGATGTCTGCATTGACTACTTTGAACAGCTGGTAAGCAGCTATATGAAACCTTGCTGTCAAAATCTAAGTTGAAGAAAAGAATCTTTTGCGAGAGAGTGAAATAAAATGAATTAGCACAAGCACTGTGTATGTATATGCTCATGTACACACATGAACACACACTGCTTGTATAGATGTGTGTTCACATAGGGGTGTCTTGTGTTTGGATTGGAAACATTATTATGGTTCTGCCTCATACCTGGCTGCCCCAAAAGGGAGAGAATTTACTTTTCATCTGTTGTGACAGTATTAAAAGGAAACATCAACACAGAGTTTTCACAGACTCCAGAGGTATGATTGTGCAGGATATGTCGTTGATATTTGATCACCCAGTACCTGAGAGAATTTACAATTCATTTTTAGCTTCAAGCTTGAGGTTAATGAAAGACGTAGTGACTGGAAAAGTTGAGCTATCAACATTTTTGTGTATAAATAAGGAACACTCCTTATCATGGATAATGCAGGTCACATCTTCACTTGATGGGGTACCCTGAGATGAATCAGAAATTTATTTTGTCTAACAATGATAGGGGTCTTTTGATTTCCCACCAGTTTTCATTATTTCTTGGAGTGGGGGTGGGTACAAGACATTGGCCCTTTCTGTTGTGGCAAATAGCTCCAGTCTCTCTATTGATGAGTGCATATTTTAAATATTGTGCCAAAGTAGTAATTTCAGTGAAGAACAATAACTGGAATCCATTGAACTGGAACTCAGAGGGGCTCATAAACAGGGAAAATTCTAAAAAAACTTATGATACTTGAAAGCCAGTATCAGATAAGTGCAAAGCAAAACTATTTCGTTGATAGATATTTTCAACTTGTTAATACCATCTTTGATCCCAAGAGGGATCAGGGCCTTAGAAGCATAACCTGCTTCTTGAGATGCAGGTAGGAATGTTTTGATCTCACATCAAACGCACAATGTTCTGCAGAGGTGTTAATGGGTATCTGCTTCACATATCTATTTCCTTCGTAAACAAGGCAACTTTAGAAAGAGATGTCAAAACTTCAGTAAGATACCTTGCCAGTGTTTGAAGAAGGATATAAAACATTAAGGGTTGGTTGAATGTTTTTGATTTCCTTCCTGCAGAGATTTCACTGACAAGAATTCTCATTGTATAACAAACGTCATTGTTATAAGGTTGCATATTGTTTGGGTTCAGTACATGCACTTCCGTTGCACCACTCTCATCTGCTTTGCTCAGCCCTCCTCATTTTTCTCATCATGTTCCATCATTCAGTATCCTGTGAAACCTCTTAGGATATTTTCACATTAAAGAGCTATTTAAAAGCAATTTATTCTCATGGCAACATATTGGAAGAGATAGCCTTTTTATACATTTAGATGTGGACACTCTCTTCACAGAGAGGAAGTAATATTGAACCTCAATCTGTCATTCTCTGTTACTCATTTTCGATTTATGATCCACCAGCAGAGTTTGAAGACTTGATAATGCTAGTCATATTTCAATTAGGAATTTCCAATCTAAATATAAAAGCATTCCTAACTCAAGGTGTGCTTTCTCAATCTGTTAAAGTGTTGTATGGTAAGATGTCAAACACACATTGCTGAAAGGAAAGCAAGAAAGTGTTGTACAAATCGTCAAGGAGTTGAAACAGAAACTGTAGGCTACGCTAATGTTGGCCTGCATTATAGAGCAGCTAATACAGCATGGACAAGGGTGGCTGGAGGTGGATTGGAACATTGACATAGCTTTGCACATTTTCTGACCGATGCCTGCTGTAGATCCAACTGGAATTTGACTCAGGGTTACTGTCTGGACTAACCTGAGTAACTGTTCTAACTATTATTGGATGACGGCTATTCTAACTATTGCTTTCCCCATGTAAAAACAATAGATAATGAAGAGGTGTGAGCAGGGGCGGGGATACGCAGACAGAAGCTGTCCATGGCTTGGTGGAGCATCATTGGGCTGGGCGCTCTGACTGACGCCAAACATATTGCCCAGTGAGAAAGTGGAAGAAATGGCAGAGTCCAGCTGAGTTCCAGGCATTGTTTTAATGTTTTTGGGCATGTTTTCCAGCCCTTTGAGAATGTATCTGGGAAGAGGATTGCAAGCTTCCCCCTCACCCCCATATGCTGCATTCTGTGGTCTCCTGGGCATGACAGGTTAGAAGATCCCTGGGGGATGTGGGCACCATCACTGCTATTTAAGTAAGATCACCTCTTCCTGACCCTGCTAACTTGAGTGAGGCCTGCTTATATGGCAGGGTCATGGAGCCACAGATTTTCAGATGTAGGATCTATTCTGGTGCCGGGCAACGAATGCAGGGAGGAATAATTTTCTTTTCAGGCAATGGAAATGATGTCAATTAACAACCCTGGAAGTAGCTCTGGCAGAACCACACCCTGTTTGACCAAGCCTTGTCTGTCATCACCAAATCCATCTCATAGCATCCTGGAGAGTGATAAATCCCCTATTTATTTTCCCATTCCCAGAATGTTAACTGTGTTGGGCTTGAGATGAGAAGTCTGCTGCTGAGACTTCAGCTTTGCACTTATCCTTTCCACATCTGACTATTTCAATGCTGAGCTGTCCATCTCCCTAATCTCCAGCCTCCAGAAATACAGTTCTTCCAAAATTGCATTGCTTGCATCCTATCCAGCACTAAATCCGACCTTACCATCAGCTCACTGCTGAACTATCTTGATGCCAGCACTACAGATGTCAAACGATGTGCAGCTTAGGTGGGTTGGCCATGCTAAGTTGCCCTTAGTCTTCAGGGACATGTAGGTTAAGTGGATTAGCCATGGAAAATGCAGGGTTACAGGGATAGCTGGGGGGGAGAGGGTCGTCTGAGCAGGAGGGTTGATGTGGACTTGATGGGCCAAATGGCCTGCTTCCACACTGTAGGGATTCTATGATGCAATAAATCTCCTTACTGAAATCTCCATTAGTATGGCTCTGGCATCTTGTTCTCCCCTTCCCTCTCGACATCTCTCTACAGCATTCATAATTCTACTTGCAGCTCCGAGGTCCCACATTTTGGGATTAATTCCTTGTTACTTTTTAAAATAGAACACGTCTGTCAGCTAACCCCCTCCTAATACCTCTGGCTAAATGCTCTTTTCTTAAAGTTGTACTTCAGTAAAGTGGCAGCATATGAACAGCACAATATAAATGCAAGTTGTTATATCTGGACTGTCATAAACAATATCTCATATATAACTTGTAACACCCCAGAATTAAAGTGAATGGGAGCAAAATTGAGCTTTTCGTGTTTATCTTTTTCAGATATGGAAAGATAGTATCGACAAAGGCCATCCTAGACAAAAACACCAACCAGTGCAAAGGTATTTATAAAGCGTCATGTTGTATCAACTTTGTGCATATGTTTTTGTTCCTCCTGAGAGTGAGACACACTCTTTTAAAAGGATTTCTAAAAGTTTCCTCCCTTCGTTTCCTTTTGACCTTCCTGTCAAATAACCTTTCTGTAGCAAAGATGAAAAATGGGGCGTAACAGTTATTATGGGGGAGTCTTGACAGTTGCCCATTCGTTTTCTTGCCATCTCTCCCACTGCGTAGATGCACATTCTTCACATCAACTAACATGACATGAGATTGAAAGTTCGACACATATGTGTGGTGGGACGGGGGAGGAGGAGAACTCCGTCTCAGTCTCCCCTCACTCCACAGAACCCTCACTGGTTTTGGTTGTGGTGCGTATTTCCCAGACTCGTACTTAGATCCCGCATCGCAACGTCTGTCGAGAGCAGTTGTTAAGTCACATTTTGCACAGGTACAGTGAATACAATGGCCGATATTGTATTGAAAGCTGTACCACGTTTGCTGGAATCAGCTAAATTTGCCTGCGGGAAAACAGATGCTGAAAATCAGCCAAAATCGCTTTCAAATAGTGGCAGTCTTGATCCAGTTACTGTGTGCCTGAAAGTAAGAAGCCAACCTCACTAGTGAATCATACCAATCTGTCACCAAGCCTCACTCATTTGAATACTACAGAAGCTGCATTAGGTTGACAGTATTCAGTCAAAATAAGAGAGCAAAGCTAGTCCAGACATGCTTAGATGTTTCATTAGTTCACATTCAAATCTTAGTGTAACTGAAAGCACACAGTTTTCTCTCGACAGGAAGATGCTTGTTTCTTGTCTAGAAGCATATTTTGTTTACTGCCACTAGCGTTGAGAGTAGGAAGAATTATCTGGCCTCGTAACAAAGTATGAACCAGATAAAATTTGCACGGTAAATCTAGCTCATTGCCTGAGTGACAGAAAACTAATGGGCTCTAGTTCTGCATTGGTTGGGACAGACCTTTGTTGTCTAAAGGGAAAATAATGCTTAAAAATGATTTACTGGCTGGTGCGATGTTGCAGGGTGTTTCTGTCTAATCCTATCAATGCATCTGTTCTTAAATTGGAAGCTTTCAAAAGTTGCAAGCTCTTCCTTATTTCAAGTAAAGCTTTTAACCCTATAGTTTTTGTTGAAAGTTTTTTTTTTACCCAGGTACTGACAGATTGTGATGTGATTTTAGGCCTGCTCATGCCATCAGGAAATTGGGCAATGCCAGATTGGCATTTTGCTCCACACATACATCTTCCCATGTTCATTTTGACTTTGGGAGATGGCAAAGAAACACTTGTCACCTGTTGTACTCCTCCCCTGACACTGGAAACAAAGGCCCTGATTTTAGACTAACCTGAGCTGCTGGGAGTTGGGGAGAGCGAGAAGGCATGTGGAATCCAGAATTTGGAAATCCCACCCCACACAGACTGTACAGGCTCTGCACGTCACATCAGAGATTGGTTTCTTTCCATGGGCTTTGCTGGGGGTTGGATAGGTGGAGACTGTGGATAAGGTCTGGGGGAAGCGGTGGTCGCTGAATGTGTAATGTGTTTGGGGCAGGGGAAGCAGTGGGCTGATGTTTGGTTGGAGGGAGAGTGATCCCAGAGTATTTAGATTAGAGTTCCAGGATGACTGGATGGGGTCTGAGGCCTTAACAAAATGGGAGGATTGGACGCCAATGCGCCACGGAGACGGAGGTGGGGGAGCTGGGGAGGAGGGAGGGGAGTGCAGTGTTTGATTCCGAGGAGTCATAGCTGGTGGTATTACTTACCTTAGGGAGCAGGTGAAGTTTGAGAAAGGTTAGGCAGGCAGTATATCTGATCTCAGGAGTAGCCCAGTCAAGAACACCGAACCTAGGAAATAGCTGTAAGTGTACTCACTTCCTAAATCTCTCAGCCTTTGGATGTAGCTGTTAGGGCTCAGAAATCTCAGCTAACAATACTAATGACAGTTAAGTTAAAATAAAATTAGACTAACGTTGAAAATTGCAGTTGTTGGTCATTGGCCCATCTTCCCACCTCTGTTACAACCAGGCATTGGTGTTTGTTTTGAAGTAGATTTCTGATTCCTAAACTTTTAAGTTCTCACCAGTGTGTTTTCACAGATTCACAGTTCTACTGAAAACTTGGAGATAGCCAACTAAATCATATCACCCACTTTGTTGCAACACCCACAGGCATGCCCTTCAGTTAGTCCACCAATTTGTCATCATGTGTAAATTACAAGATTACTTCTGTACTTTTTTTACAGGTAAACTTTAAGTCAAATCTTTAAATCTTTACTTTAAATCTTTAAGTGAAATTAATTCCTTTTATTTTAATTTACAAGCTTTGCCACGATTGTGGCAAATTTACTTTTTACATTTTCTCTTTGCGATGTTTCCAATTTTCACATTGCATGGCAAATGGATTGTATGATAGTATGCTCAAAAAGAAAATATTGTATTTGGGATAACAAGGTGTAGCGCTGGATGAACACAGCAGGCCAGGCAGCATCAGAGGAGCAGGAAAGCTGACGTTTCGGGTCTGGACCCTTCTTCAGAAATGGGGGAGGGGAAGGGGACTCTGAAATAAATAGAGATGAGGGGAGGTGATGATCGAAGGTGGATAAAGGAACAGATAGGTGGAGAGAAGACGGACAGGTCAAGGAGGTGGGGATGGAGCCAGTAAAGGTGAGGGTAGGTAGGGAGTTGGGATGGGGATCGGTTAGTTGGATGGCATTGGCAGTTCCTACTGTCTCATACTGTATTTGGTGTGTCACAGTTCCCAAGTCATATAAGGATCAATGGCATTAAAACCTGCTCTGATTTAAATGGTTACTATGACATATTGGTCCCAGTCTTCATTTAGGGACTGGAAGAGAGTGGCTGGAATGTTTGTCGGACAGAAACCTGGAAGTGAAGGTCCCCCAGCTGTGCTGCAGGATGTCTTTTCAATGCCTACACCAGGTTTTCTTGTCCAACAGCTGTTCATTTAGATTGACAGGCTGACTGCATGTTGACCTGGAAAGCCACAAAAGGGTGTGTATTGGGTAAGCCTGATGTCATTGGGAAGCTGGATTATTTACAACAGGGGTGGGGAGTTTTGGGCTGAGGGTCAGCCGATTGTTTGGAGATAAATTTATTGGGCACTGGGGAAACATTCCTCCTTCTCCTGACCCAGTAACGCAGCAATTCAGCGAAGGAATTTACCTCGTGTCTAGCCAGGATCCTGGCCTCCAAGTGTTGTAATTAAAAATTTAATTAAAATGGAGATAGGATAACCTCCTTAAAAGGGTTATGTGACCAACCTGCCTCCTGAAATAGGAAATGAAGTGGGCTGGTAAGGATTCGGTTTGAGAATTTAGTTTTGTTTTAAAATTACCCAACCTATCCATCCTTCAGGGTTATGATGTTTCTACACTATTGTTTCTTCTCTCCACTCATAGCCAGGTACAAGTGACAACAGGTTTTTGAAGATTCCTCTCTGATTCATTAAATAGAACTAATCTCCATTCAATTGGCTTCTGTAATACAAAATCACATCATGGCGATGAGTCGCCATTGAAAATCAGGTTGCCGGGGTTGGTCTAATCCCATTGTAAATGTGTGGTCTGTGCTGATTCTTGATGGTAATACACACAAGGAATCAGGACTGTCTGTAGAATTCAGTTCAGAAGAAGTCAATAAGGGGCCAGGCAGAGTCTCAGGAAAAACTACTACAGGAGGGAAGAAGAGTGGAGAATGCAGGATGGCAGATGCAATGGGCTAATGTTAGTCTTCTTCACATTGGGTTTGTGAAGTGGCACTGCGATAAGGCATTTATCCAGCTCCATGGAGAGGGTGCTGTTGTGTGTGAGCAGGATGAATGATTTAGGGACATGAAGTGTTTCTTACCTGTATGGAAGGGAAGGATCGCATTTGAATTACATCCCAATGCAGCGGAAAAGAAAGTGGGGCGAGCTTTAGGGTTAAGTACTTCATCAGAATTGGTAGTCTTTACGAGGAAAGTGGAAATGCTGACAGCTTTTGCCACGTGACTTGTGGTTGCTGCAGACTAATCAAGTAAGGTCCCAGTGCTAAATCTTCTTCATGCTAACCCTTCAGTTTGGGTGGAACAAATCTCTTTCAGTCATTGGGGTTCTGCATTTATCAACAATTAAATGAACTCTCAGCAGGTTGGAGAATGGCATACTTCATTCAGTGGCGAGTTTATTGCTCTTTGGTTCGGAAAATGCGAAGAGATATTGAAAACATCAGTACTGGCTTATGAGGGAGAATCTAAATTGTTTACATATGATTTTACTGAAGGAAAGACTCACTTACGGTTCTGTTTGGTTCATGGAGCAGCTGCATAAGCCTCTTTGGACCAAAGTCTGCCTTCTAAGATAGTGGAGGCTTTCATTGTCTAGTGAAGTGATCTTTGAGCTTTCAGAGAAATTCTGAGGTAGTAACTTGATTTGTTTTAAAATTGTAAATGAGAAAGATTACTGGCATTTATAAATGTTTTGGGAGGGGAGAGGAAGACTGCAGCAAATTGTCACAATATTGAGGCATTTATATTTTTATAAAATACAGTCTGTGCGTCCTCATACAATCTGGAGATACAGTTCCATTTGAATGTTGCAGTCACTCACTATTTTTGATACGTTAATAGAAATATTTTAACCAAGTTGAGAATCAGGGCTGAAAGGATAATAAAATTGAAATGGTTTATCAGCAATATTTCAGACTTTGGATAGGATGGTGTAATGAAGCAGACTCATTGTGTTTCTTATTTGTAGAAATTGTTGATTTGCTTTCTTTGCGCATTGTTTAGTTGTCTGTTGTGACTTTTCTGTATTGCTTGTATGCTTCTGCTTCTGCATCACATCATTAAACCAGAAGGTGACTCTGAGTGTCCTTGCACAGCAGACTGAGCTAGAACAGTTACATGTTATAATGTGTTAGCAATTTAAAGTGCAAAAAACAGGTACATTTTTATGATTAAATTCTGTTCGGAGACTTATGACTGGC